CGTCTTTGCCACTCCGATGATGACCGGCATTGTGCGTGGTATTCGCACAACATCGCCATTCAAGCGGGACGCGAGGTTTTTGCGTTGTCTTGAATCGGCTGCTCAAGGACCAAAACATTTTGGAGCTTCCGAAAAATACAGCAGGCAGTGAAGCAATGCCAATTCCAGGACGTTTTAAAATCATTTCAACTCATTTCAACTCATTTATGAGCATTGCCAAAAGAAGTGAAAGCGCATTATGAAACATCGACAGCGAAAAGATTTGCAGCACGAGCGCGTGGCCCAGTCGGGTCGACATGCGCTTTTCAGGCTAATAATTCTACCACCACCAATCGCAACATCGTGCAGTTCCATCGATGAACAGAAGCATTTTCTTGATCATCTTTACTAAAACGAATACATTTACACGTAATCTGTTTGTCCTGATATGATATACTAATTAAATTTGAACAAGGTATACATAGCCCCCCAACCCTGACTAGCAAAAGAACATAATATTTGTAACCTGGTACTTGTAAAAAGGCCGCGCAATGCGCGTCGAAACCTGACCACAGTCTAAGAGACCGTTTGACGCAGCGACACAGAACTGCTGTGTCGTCGCGGGGAAGACAGCGGGCGGCCGTGATTCCAGAAAGACTGGTCGATTTGTCTGAACCACACAAAAACGATTTGTCTGCGCGTATGCCGCAGGTTCCCGGCGTCCAAGGGCATCTTTAAGGATTGACATCACATATCGGCAACGAAAGCAAATATAGACGCGAGAGCAGCTATATGGAGGAGGCGAATGTAGCGTCTACAAATCACTAGGAGATTGTAATGCCATCAGGCTCAATACCAGCTATGGAATCGGGAAGTGGAAATGCCACATTTTAAAAACCGGTTGCGAATACTGTACGTGCTGGTGTAAACCGAGACAAACTGGCCAATTAATCTACACCGATGTTTAGTTCAATGCACTGTGACTAACGTCCAGCCAATATGTTTACATGCTTCGCATACTTTGGTCAGTCATCCACAACCTAAATTATTGCAAATCCACCTACTTCGGTCACTGAATGTGGCAGGCCTGGCCAGACGTGCAAATCAGCGCGAGTATCTCGCCAGGGTTGCGAGTGCCCGCTGTTAGGTTCCTTCAAAGCACGGCGAGTGCCCGCTGTTAGGCTCCCTCAAAGCACGGAACGAAATTGACAATTATGATTTATTTTATCGCCTCGCTGAACACAAGACATCGGGCGTCATAACACGTCGTCACACGCCACACGATGCATCTAAGTAATTGCAAGATTTCTACCAATGTTTTTCCGGTGAAAGTGGCTATTGTCAATATATCAAATATATCAGCCACACATTACAGATCACTTTCACTGAATCCTTTTTGCCCGAGCATGGATAATCCACAGCACAGCATCGCTGAGCTCCCACGTAGTCACGCCATGTGCCGCTCACCTTGCTAACGCTAAGTCGAGCCTTCTGTACATCATGTTCCGATCTTGCCCAGCTGCATGCGGTCTGCCTTTCGCTGTGTCCAGGTAACGGCGAGGTGCCCATTAGCGGTAAAGGTTCCGCGCCGGGCAGCGACATCTAACAAGACGGACACCCGGACCTCATCAAAGCCGTGAGATGACTCGTCTCGGAACGGTCAAGCCTGAAAAACCAAACGCTGACATTAACAAGGGTAGGCTTGTCTTGAAACCAACCAGGCAGGCACACGGACGTCATCTCGGGGTCGAAAGCTTAGACTACTGAGTCAGAATCGAACCGGACGGACAACCGGCCATCGTCAGGGGCAGCTGAGGCGCACGCCCGGGGACACCGGAGCTGGCGGCTGGCTGTAGACAGCGGCCCGTCCGCTGTGGTCGTCCGGGACGTGCCCGATGCCTATCACTACGCACCAGCGCACGGAGGCGCGGCTCGTGCGACTTAACGGTGAAGGGCAGTTCTCGTCGGCCGCTCCGATGTGGTGGGCGGCTGAGATCAGCGGAATCCATTAAGCTAGGAGTCTGGTCACATCTGCCCATGGACTTAAAATAGAGGTGACGGCTTACGCCGAACGGCGCTGATCAGGCTCGCGTGGCGCGTGGGAACCCACACCATGGGACCTGAGTTCAAATCCAGCGCGTTGCGCAACGTTTCACTGGCCCTCGTTGCATCCAGCGTGGATGGTGATTGTGACACAAACAGCCATAGTGGCTGCATAGTCGATGAATCATTTAACGATGGCGATAATGAGCACGTTTCATTGAAAGGTCACTGATTAGAAAGTCAACACGGGTGTTTGTAGGGATAACTTGCACTTCTGAACGCCGGCGGGAGGGGAAGGAGCGCGGAGAAGGACGTTGGTGAAGGGGTGGGGCGACGGATCATGCCCAAAGACAATGAAGAAATACTAACGAGTCTCTTTATATGCCGGATCTTTGGATATCACGTGCACTATCCGGACTTAAACGTTCACGAAAACTCAGTACCCGATCCGCCTTTGATCATGAAAGCATTTGACGGCCACATCTGAACGATAGCCACGCAATGGGTTTCTTAAAACGTGATCATTCGACGACTAATTGCATTGTACAAACCAAGTTCTGTATGGTATTCGGTCGTCGAATATCCGTCTATTGACGACGAATTTCCTTCTCCTATAAAGGCACGTTTGCAATATTGCTTAGACAAGGAACTGAGCACCTCGTAAAATGCTCACATATTCTCAACTCTGTTATGAGGCCTGACAAACACCATTTAGCTTCCATCGTTGTAATTGATAATATCGAAGGCATTGAACACCTCGGTTAATTGTTATTTTTTCTCACTGCTGTCGTGCCTATTAAGCATCATTTATTTGTCATCGATGCATGCTCTCAAGTAACCTTCTCAATAATTCTCTCATGCTGACGAAGAATAATAAACGTATCGATAAGAAATTTTAGCGCTAGCACGGTGCATGTCCACAGCATGAATGAATGCACAAGTCTTTATATTGGCCTTCCATAGGGATACGCAATGGCAATCTACTGGATGTGGAATCCTTACTAAATTGTCGAAGATGGCAAATGGTGTCTGCCATGTAGGCAGAGCACCCAAATGTTGTCTGCCATGTAGGCCGAACATCCAAATGGTGTCTGCCATGTAGGCAGAGCACCCAAAATTACTGAGTACGCCGTATGAAAGCCGACTGGCCGGGTTTCCATAACTGGAGCCGATTCCGCGAAGACTAAGTTCGATTCCATCAGCCAAAACCATTGTCCGGTGAAATCCAGCGACTTACTCCCGTCATCCAGTTTTGAGGGGAAGTGTACCACACTTGTCTCGATTCGGTCGCGTGAGACACAGTAAGTTCGCGTAACTTGCAGGCACCATGCTTTCACCATTCGGCGTGCTTGCAAATCTGACGGGAAAACTTTTTAGGATGACTGACTTCCGGAGTCTGGTATAACACTGCGTGGTCATAATCTTATGTAACATATTGATGTTCTGGAGAACATGTGGTTCTCTGCTCCAGTCTTGTTAGAAAGTGTTTTGTTTCCTATTTATTTTGCGTCTTTCACCGCAATAGTATGTATCGTACAAAAATTGTTGTGCTGCGTTTATTCACAACATTTCAAATGAAAGATCTAAATAGATATGTCCATCAGTGGAACAGACCCAATGCAGCAAGAACAGCACAGTTGCTCTGCAAATAAATGTCTTGTTCTTTCTTATTGCAAAATTATATGCAGCAAGTTTAAAAAATGCACAGAATGTTTCGACACAAACAGAACAAATTTCTCACAAATTTGACAACAGTTTTGAAGGAGGAACAGGTCTTTTCTCGGAGACATAATTGAGTCGTACTGAAACACAACAAAGAAGAAGTTAGTTGCTGAGGTATGTACGCCGTGAAGGTGCAGCGGCAACAAACATGCATCATCGTGAAGTAGCGACAATGCCTGCGGTTCCACCCTCACAGGGCCTCGAGTGATGGTCTGGGCGAGTCATGGTCTCACTCTCGAATCCCCATCCGTTAAGGTCACCGAATGCCCCCAGGCGCACTGGGCACTCATCAAGCTTGCCCAGAAGCCGCCGTCAGCCGTGTAAAAACCTGGTGATAGATCGACAACGCTCCCTGACGAAGCCACGCCGCCTGCTGCATTGGCATGCACCGTCGTGAGCCTTCCGTATCGTTTCGTCTGGGAAGCAGGGTCGCACTCACTCTGCCGGACATAAGCCGGCCCTGGCGGGTGGCTGGGAGGGAGTGCTGGCCTTCGGCGCCGCAAACCTATCCCCTCATGAACCCGGTGATGACCTCACTGTAGCTTCGGATGCTTTCGCCGCGGCGGTGCGGTGTCGTGGCGGTATTCAGGGGCCCTTGCGGTAATCGGCGTTCCCAGAGTCTGTCGGAATGCGGCGGAGATGGGCTACCTGCACAGTGCAGGGCCTCAACGCCATGACTGCGAGAAGCACGCAATTTGCAAGACAAAAATGCGCTCAATCAATGCTCACAAATTGGAATCGCTTCATTGGCTAGTTTTTAGGTTATCATTTCTACCCCGGTCCAAACTACGCACAAGCAGTTAACCTTGCGTCAGTCCCTGACACCGGTCTTGATGGAAGCCTGATTGGAAATGCATTTGCCTGCAGAAACATTACCTTGACATCGACCAAAACATCGCTTTTTATGCTCATGGCACCGAGCGGTCTTTCCAATAACCATACGGTACTAGGGGAATGCAACTTGATTTGGCAGTGCTGATACCGCTGGTTGTCTATCAGATTTGGCAACAATAAACATGGTTTATCAGCAATCAATGAACAATGAACAGTGAAAGCTGGTGGTACTGACTGCTCCAGACTGCAGCCGCACCAGGTCACCATCCTCATTCCGTTATTTACGTAGTTAGCACCATGGCCTCTGCCCTTACCTCACAGAACACGATGAAACCAACTGCCGAAGAAGTCGAAGCCCCCTCACGCCCAACCGATCATCAGTGCCCGTCCCCCTCTGACACACCGGCACGTCTGTCCAACAGGCCGTACAACCTACGCCTGGAGCGCAACCGTCACCTGCTGAGCGAAGTGAGCCGTATCGTGCGCCGTCTGCCGGGCAACGTCAGCCGAGAGCACGAGCGCGCCGGCGGCGACTGCCACTTCCTACACGCGGGCCGCAACCTCACCGCCGCCGTCAGCAAGTGTCGAGACGGCCAGCTGGTGAGGCCGACCGCGGCGACCGCGACGAGGGCACGGCGGAGATCTGGGGAGGACAGCGCGAGAGTTTGTGGCGGGATGAGCGGCAAAGGCTGCGAGCTGGAGGTGGGAGGGAGATGTTTGGAGCAAGAAAGAAGCCGTGGGCAATGGGGGGATCGAGGAGCAGAGAAGCCGATCAGGCTGGAAGTAAGGGAGGGGCAGGAACCGAAGGGAGAGTGGTAGGGTTAGGGCCGAGGGAGGGAGACAGGAAGGGAGAATGTATGGGAGGGGGAGGGAGGAATTAGGAAGGAATGGAGGGGGGGCAGGAAGGGAAGTTATCGAGGGGCAGCGTAGAAATGCCTAGAGGTGGGACATGTCGATGGGAATCTCGCACAAAACGCTGATCATGAACCCAGCTGGGGGCGGTAGGGAGAAGGGGGAGGTAAAAACATTTAGGTGCCGATCGTGGGCGTTTTTCCCGAGCCCATGTTTCCGTCAGTCTTGAATCCGTCATGTAGGTGATTCCAGCGCGCAGACTTACGCGAGCGCGCTTGCAGCAATGGTTGCGTAAGACCACATCCAAGCTCGTTCCACGGTCAGTCGGCATAGTTAACATGCTGCGGCGATCTATCCTTGGGCGCACACTGAGCTCATGGATGTGGTAATACGGACTGCTTTTTGCAACCCGCGTTTACTTTTATCACTATAGAGCGGTAATCTTTCGTGCCAAACCCTTCGTGTAATGCAGCTGAATCACTGATTACTGTCGACCCCTTGTAATTATTTTTTTCGTTGTTCAAGGCTAAGTGACTATAAGATACGGTGACGCGAATGAAGGTACAGCGTTATTGCGCCTGTGATTAATGCTGATGTGAGGGCACATACTTAGTCACTTATGGGCTTTGGATGCTTCTGATTTCTGCAATGCCTAGGTAGTTAAAATACAATATTCAGGCTTAGATGTCCGCCTAGAAAAACCCACCCGCCTTTAAGAGCTGCTGAGCGCTAAGTGAGGATGCAATTTGCACTCACTTCGTCACAAAGGTAAATGCTGCGAGGACAACCTGTGACGTAGCTGACAAGACGTTCGGCAGGACACGAGATTTAAGACAGTTAGAATGCATTGCAGCGAGGCATGCGTCGGCCTATTGCTTGTTTTTAATCGTCCTGTGGTTACGATTTTCAACTCAAGCCGTTCCTTAAAGGAATCGGGTCCAACAAAATGTGTGCTCGCTTTTTACTAGGACGAGCAGACGTTTCTGCTGACGAAAACTGTTTGCACACACCTGGAACATTGCAGCCTTCGTGTTTTGTCTTCTGTCGAAGGGCTCGCTCCGGTGGGCCATCACGTCAGCCGTCAGCCGTCATGTCTCGACTCGCTGGCAAATAAACATACTTTGCATACAATCATGCTCAACTGTACCAGACCTAGCTAATGTGACCTTCGGCAAATAAAGGACGGATACTTAGGCATGACTATCCCGGCTTGACGGAGGGATTGAAGTCAAACAAGCCGCTTGTTTTGAAACATGGATGTTTATAGCAGGAAATTAACTGTAAAAGTGATTGGAGGAAATGGATGACATGTGCACAGCTTAAAGAACATTATCGGATTATGCAAATCGGTCTATGCTTCGTTTTGCAGGTGCCATTCATTTTTAGAACACAAGCCATTGTGCCACACTTTTGCATTGCAAAATAACACAAACGAGTAGCTTTTTTGCATTGGATTGTTTATATTCACGTTAGAAAAAAAGCATTGACAGTGTACGAGGTATCGTTGAAAGCTCGCTGAATATCGCTAATGTACGCATAAATATCATGATAATGCACGTGGCATGACTGCTCCTGATGGTGATTCCGTCCTAAGTACCCAGCACTGGTAGGTTTCAGGATGGCAACAGTCACTATCGTTTGTCATACCTGCTCTTGAAGTCATCTGCAAGGGCGTGCCTCCGTAACCATAGCTACGACACTCACTTGCGATTGGCCCCGAATATCTTATGCTAGCGTGAATGGATGAACATCTAATTGCAATTGCATGGTGTGTTGTATCACCACGCTTAAAAACGAAAATGAAATGGTTTAGCTTGTAACAGAAATACAAAAGGCTGAATGCGTACAAGTAAATCAATTACGGTATGACAAAACAGCTGCGATGGCGACAATCCCCATCTATTTCAGCATAAAGCACAGCCTCAATGTCTGAATCCATACCAGCGTGCCCAGTGCCTGGCTATAAGCTGTAGATTTCAGTTTTAGTTTTTGATCAAATGTCGCCCTGGTGCATGCTAAGTGCTATGAACACGAGCCCACATACATTATAGCGCTTCAGTAATGCTTCAACGAAAGCCTCAATGTCACGTTCTCAAACGTGAATTACTGCCGTCCGGCCGCTGGTTACTAGGTGCCGTAGGAAGTATGCAGCATTACGGGTGCACACGTACTTTAATCCGCCACCGCACGCGGCCTTGCTTTAATCTCCTCGGCATGCAGTCTCCCCTGTTCCGCTAGCCGCACGCACTTTCGCTGGCGTCGGTACCGGCACTGCACCAATACACGGTCGCGTGAGCAGGGGTGATTCCTGCAATGGCTCATCCAGAGCCGTGGCTAAAACTCAATTAAGCCTAAACAATTTCGGTTTAGCTTTAACTAAGTATGTGGCGGTCTTATAAACATGTACATTTCAACGTCTTCTGCGTATTCATCAGCCGTTCTGCAAGCTCTCTATATACCACATACTTTTGCGATACTTCGATGTGGTTTTAAACGATTGCCCTGGACATTGATGGCACTCACATTCGTCGAACGTGATGCATTTTGGTAAGATGCATCAGAACTTCCCGAGCCAGCAGCCCTAGCTTTCAGTTGGTGTTAGTCGCTAGCAAAAGCGGTTCGGTATTGTTGGAGATTGCAACACCGGAAATTTCACTGGTGGTTCCTCCGGATTTGATCATGGACGCCTCTCAGAATGAGATGAAGTTTTTCTTTCGTTCATTTTAGAGAGGTCTGTATTCACAGGAAAGCACAAATGCGATCAGAAAGTGTGATTCTTCATCCACCCGTGACGGTCAGAGTGTGGAGAGAAAAGTCTGAAAAATATTTATTCCCCCCTCCAACTTGTGACCCGTGGTGGAGTCCCCTATATGGCCGTTAATTTGCCTATGTACTTATAGACACGGCATGCTGACGTATACCACCCACGGCTGTTGTGAAGCCAGAGTGAAACGCGCATACCTTCAGCTGGCGGCATGGGAGCCGTGAGTGGAGCTTGGCTCTGTTATTTCAGCGCGGGTTCGTGTCCGACGGTGACATGCTGCTCGACATCGCGCCGCTCACGCCGCGACTGAAGCACCTGGTGCACACGCACACCAAGCGCTCCACGTCAGCCGGCTTCCCGCACCTGGCGCGCCGCTCGACGGCCGCCGATGTCGATTCCTTCGTGCAGAGCATCGACATCGGCAACGACTTCCTCTTTCCGCGTGAGTATCGATGGGTTGGGTGGCCACTGGGTCCATGTGCTGTGGCCGTGTCGTTCTTTTTCATACGTCTTTCGTTTCCCGTTGTCCTTCAGATCCGGATCATCTTTTATCCTATCACGCTGTTCCCCACGGCTTGTTTCTCCGCACCCGTTCGTTCTGCGCTCTTGTTTTGTCAGCCTCACTCTTCCGTTCCTGGTTCGATTCTCACTCTTTCATTTATGTCGTCTTTACATTACTCTCCGCTCTTCACCGGCGTGTCATATATCAAAGATAAAATGAGCCAGAAGAAGCAAAGCCGATAACCAGCTTTACGTAGCAGCAACAACAGCAGCTTCATTTGCATAAACTTTAGCAACAATAGCAGCAATAGCAGCAACAAACTTTGTCCGCCTAAAATGACATGAAACTACCTAAAAACTTTTGTCACTTCATTTGTTTAATTACAATGGGGAAATATGTGTAACTTGAAAGAAACTCATCACCCTCACAAACAAAGAATAACGGGCCTATGGCCACCTTCAGACTTTTGTTTTCCCTAAGCACCGTAATGTTAAGGTTCAGTACACTGCCGTAAGGTTGGCGCATGAAAGTGCGCTAGCCTCCCGCTGGATTCATACCGAAGACCACAGACCCTGTTGAAATACATCGGCGTGGGCAGGGCACGGCTGAAGGAAACATACCATGCAAATGGGGTACATATCACAGCTTTCTTTGAATTTGATGTTTGATATCTGTATGACATCAATGCCTGGTAGGTGAAATCACTCTAGTACGAGGCTGTAGCGCACAGCAATTGTTGAATATCCGACAAAATTTGTTCGAAATTCTGCGTCAACATAGAAAATAAACGCACTGCAAAATGGCTGTAAGTTTACTTCCCACTTACAGATTGCTTACATCCCACCAGAGCATTATTCTCAGCGGGCGCAACAAGATTTTATTTGCAGAACGCCGTTATCAGACAACGAATCGCATTTGTAGAAACTAGCGGCACTTGGCTTTCCTCAGCTTTCAGCGATCGTACAGGAACCCCTTGGCTTCTGCAGCCCCAGTTCAGTGCCACATAGCTTTCTCAGCACCACTGAGTGGCGACAGGGGATCCGTCAGTTCCCACGCTCGGGATCGTATCCGAGCCGCAGACCTGCTATCCGATCCAAAACAATGCAGCAGCCTGTGCCCGCAGCGATTCGTGCGGTCAGGGATTTATCAGTGGATCGCTTTATGAACCGCTTCTTATTCCCGGTGGCGTGGGCGGGATCTCGGATGAGAGCTAGCAGGTCAGCCATGCTGAAAATCTTACCTTCATACGATATGCATGCACAAAGGCAGTACGTACAAAGACGCAAATGCAAATACAATACTCCCCATGTACGCACGTGGATGAGAGAGGACCTGAACCTGTGACGTCAATGTGGTCACATGGCACATGATCGTTCACATTTTTGAAATTAGGACATCATGTCCCTCCCGTCTACAGCACATAGCTGCGTCGGCAGTCATATCCCTACCGCTTGCAGCACATGACTACGTCTGCTGCATTTTAATCCTCCCGTCTTTAGCACATAATCCCCCCCCCCCCCGTCTATCACACATCACTGCGTTGGCTGCATCATGTCCCTCCCGAATATCACTCACGACTGCCTCGGCTGCATCTTATGTGTCCCGTCCATAGCACATGACTGCGTCGGCAGCGTCATATGTGTCTCGTCTATAGCACATGACTGTGTCGGCCGCCTCATGTCCCTCCCGTCTATAGCACATGACTCCGTCGGCTGCGTCACATACCTCCCGCCTATAGCACATGACTACGTCGGCTGCGTCATATGTGTCCCGTCAATAGCACATGACTGTGTCGGCCGCCTCATGTCCCTCCCGTCTATAGCACATGACTCCGTCGGCTGCGTCACATCCCTCCTGTCTACAGCACATGACTACGTGCGTCTTGTCCCTCCCGTCTATCACACATGACGTCGGCTGTGCCATGTCCCTCACGTATATCACTCATGACTGCCTCGACTGCATCATATGTGTCCCGTCCACAGCACATGACTGCGTCGGCAGCGTCATGTCCCTCCCGTCTATCGCTCATGACTGTATCAGCTTCAAATGCGGCGTCTGAACGCCGCATGCCATGCTAATCAGGTTCTTCGTCAACCTTGCTGATAGCTAAAAGTTGGACGCTTAAAGCTAAATTCGATACTAATCCATGACATATTTATCGCTTACCCTATATGTGAGAGGTTTTCCATAAAGTTAAGGTTCCAGAAACAGACAGATAAGATGGTAGAGTTCCGACGGCATCGGAAAGTTTCCTGAAAATGGCTTCACCCGCGCAAAAGTTCCAAAATGCTCGGAAACGTCACAGTGTGCTTTCTGCAGAATCAGCTGACACAGCGTGGCAACTCTAAGATACCTCGCGTTAAGAAAGGAATTCATGGAATCTCGGACACAGATGTAAGAGATTTCATATGATCATATTGCTGAGCGGCAATGTCATAGCATTAGCCTGTTAGGCAAGTAAAATGTTTGATTTACTCTTAAACCGGTGAAGAAATTGAGAGGTTCCCATTGCAATATTGGAAAATAGCCTTCATTGGGTATTCATTTCTTTTGACAAGTATTGAGGACTATCTACGGTCTTACACCAATGATTACCAAGACAGTGGATATTATGAGCAGTGGCGTCGTTCTGATAGTCCTCCGGCTTGTTTAGAGCTGAATTAAATGCTTAACGCTCCACTTCATGGCAGGAACAAACTCCGTCAATCCCTTTAACGAGGCCACATATGAGCACACCAAACAATGTGCTCAACTTCTTTACGCCACTATGATTTGGGATAATTTGCTATTCGTGTGATACAATCTTTTCCAGGTCTTTGATGAATAGGACGGAGTTCCCTCCTTTGTTCTAGAGAGTTGTAATCCGATTTCCAGATTTTGGCGAATCTTTCAGGCCGGATTTCTGGCATATACACAGTTCCTAGTAAACTAAACATAAACCATGTATCAACACACGTGTAGCTCCTAAATCAAACCACTATTCCATTGCTGTAACATGCTATGCGTCGCTAGGGCTTATTTCAAGCACCTTTGTTATAAGATTATTATTATATTGTTATTACCTTTATTGTGTCGGTATTGTGATATAGATTTGTGTGGAAGGAGCCAAATGCAACGGTACACTTTGAATTTCAGATGAGATAAGTCCAGACGAATTCAACATCAACGATGACTTTTTGGATGTAGGAGATGCCCTGAAGATAAAAGTTGTAAGTCATTCCCAGCACCTCTTGGGCATTTGTGTCTGTGAGTTGTAGAGCATACTTTCTTGAACCTGCATACGTAACGGCAAAGCATAATCACATCACTGTGTCGTTAAGTTTTGTTATCAGTGGATATTACAGCCTTGGAAAGGCTAGCTTATGTTAATTAGATTTCACGGATCATAATCGTGTGCACATCATCGCTGTTACTTGTTTTAACAATCAATATGTTCTTGGCAGAACCGTCATCGCTCCATTGTACCGCAATGAGCGAGCGATGTTAAAGCGATGTTATGTGATGGCAGTAGCGCGCAATCCTGTTCGGTTTTGGTTGTCTAAATCGCGCTCCTCTTAAGCTCACAACTGAGGTTTTGCCATTACTTCTCATTCCAACCGCAAGCCGCCATGGGATCAGTGTTTCCCTCCCAGCTCGTCCCCCTCGTTCCCTTGACCCAGCTCGGTGACGTTGGCAGGCGCCCGTGGAGCTGGGCGAGGACCGCACCCCGACGGTCAGGGGCCGACGCATGATAGAGCTCGGCCTCTTTGTGGACAAGGCTGCCCGAGAGATCTTCCTGCCCTTCTTCGACAATGACCTCAACGAATTCATCGACTTTATTCTGGGCTTCATCAACCAAGTGAGCGAGTTGTGGAATTCGGTGCCAGCTGAAAGTCGGTGCGCGGGCGGGGGGGGGGGGGGCAGGTAACGGGGGTGAAGGGGATTATTGGGCGGTGTGATGGCCTTGGCTGGTATTTTAAGCCTTTCGAGAGTCGGTGGCGCCAGCCATACAGTCTCAGTGGTGTGATTTGATCTGATCTCCCCCGACGTGGGCCCGCCCGCGGCATGCCGGGACAGCCGCAGCTGCTGCCCGTTAGGCTCCAGCCTGCGTTTGCTAGGAGCTTGCGGTCAGGAGAGACGTGTCCTGGAAATCCCGAGACATCGGTGACATTAGGCAGCCGATACAAGTTAAATGCCGGGGAGGCACCTAACGGTGTCATTTTTAGAGATGATGTTTGTCATGGCCACGTAGACTCTGAGAGCAGTTCGGCGGAAAACTCAGTTTAGAAGATTGAGGTACTTGCCATCCAGAATTTATAATCAGATGTCGATACATTTGTTCCGCAGTTGATAATTACCCAACAATGGTGACTTATGAATATCTGCTTCCTCACATGGACATATTTTTACCTGATACCAGAATTTGTCTCTGGACGAGAAATTTGGTCCACTCATAAGTCGCTGCCTATCATAATGTGCGTAACGTTTTATGTCCTGACCACGTTTTCGTCCGCTAACATCGTGCCCTTTCAGATCCAGGCGCTATACTATTTGCCCAGCCTTGGCACAAAGGTGGACATCAGCATCAACTACCTGGAAATCATGGAGACGCAGCAGATGAGCCATTATGACGGCGAGAGGTCCCAACTGCTCACCTCCTTCTGCCGCTACAACGCCCGCACCAACGAGAAGGCTGCCGGACGCAATAGCTGGGACATGGGACTTTACCTCTCCGGGTCAGTCAGAGGTCTGGAGCAGAGTGCGAGGAACCCTACCTCTCCGGGTCAGTCAGAGGTCTGGAGCAGAGTGCGAGGAACCCTACCTCTCCGGGTTAGTCAGAGGTCTGGAGCAGAGTGCGAGGAACCCTACCTCTCCGGGTCAGTCAGAGGTCTGGAGCAGAGTGCGAGGAACCCTACCTCTCCGGGTCAGTCAGAGGTCTGGAGCAGAGTGCGAGGAACCCTACCTTTCCGGGTCAGTCAGAGGTCTGGAGCAGAGTGCGAGGAACCCTACCTCTCCGGGTCAGTCAGAGGTCTGGAGCAGAGTGCGAGGAACCCTACCTCTCCGGGTCAGTCAGAGGTCTGGAGCAGAGTGCGAGGAACCCTACCTCTCCGGGTTAGTCAGAGGTCTGAAACGAAGTGGGAGTGACTCTACCTCCCGGGTCAGCCAGAGGTGAGCAGCAGAGCGGGACGGACCCCACTTCTCCAGGTCAGTCAGAGGTCTGGAGCGTAGTGGGCGGGACTTAAAGTCCGCGGGTCCTTCAGAGGTCTGGAACGGAGTGGGAATGATTTTTCCTCTCCGGGTCAGTCATAGGTCTGGAGCAGAGTGGGAGTGACTCTACCTCCCGGGTCAGTTAGAGGTGAGCAGCAGAGCGGGACGGACCCCGCTTATCCGGGTCAGTCAGAGGTCTGGAGCAGAGTGGAAGAGACTCTACCTCCCGGGTCAGTCAGAGGTCCGGCGCAGAGTGGGAGTGACTCTACCTCCCGGGTCAGTTAGAGGTGAGCAGCAGAGCGGGACGGACCCCGCTTATCCGGGTCAGTCATAGGTCCGGCGCAGAGTGGGAGTGACTCTACCTCCCGGGTCAGTTAGAGGTGAGCAGCAGAGCGGGACGGACCCCGCTTATCCGGGTCAGTCAGAGGTCTGGAGCAGAGTGGAAGAGACTCTACCTCCCGGGTCAGTCAGAGGTCCGGCGCAGAGTGGGAGTGACTCTACCTCCCGGGTCAGTTAGAGGTGAGCAGCAGAGCGGGACGGACCCCGCTTATCCGGGTCAGTCATAGGTCCGGCGCAGAGTGGGAGTGACTCTACCTCCCGGGTCAGTTAGAGGTGAGCAGCAGAGCGGGACGGACCCCCGCTTATCCGGGTCAGTCAGAGGACTGGAGCAGAGTGCGAGGAACCCTACCTCTCCGGTAAGTCTGAAACGAAGTGGAAGTTCCTCTACCTCCCGGGTCAGCTAGAGGTGAGCAGCAGAGAGGGACGGACCCGACTTCTCCGGGTCATTCAGATATCTGGAGCAGAGTGGGAGTGACTCTACCTCTCCGGGTCAGTGAGTGGTTTGGGGTGGAGTGAGAGGGACCCTATCTCCGGGATCAGTCAGAGTTCTGGAGCGGAGTGGAAGGGACTCTACCTCTCCGGGCCAGTCAGAGGTACGGGGTGGAGTGAGAGGGACCCTATCTCCGGGATCAGTCAGAGTTCTGGAGCGGAGTGGAAGGGACTCTACCTCTCCGGGCCAGTCAGAGGTACGGGGTGGAGTGAGAGGGGCCCTATCTCCCGGATCAGTCAGAGGTCTAGAGCGGAGTGAGAGTGACCCTATCTCCGGGATCAGTCAGAGGTCTAGAGCGGAGAGGGAGGGACTTTGCTTCTACGGATCGTCAGGGACCTAGGGCCAGAGTGGGAGAAACGCGATGTAAACTGGTTAGTCAGAGAGCTCAGGCTAAACATACATATTTTGTCGCCCTTTACCATACGAAAACAGTTTCATCCATGCCAGTTATGATCATCATATGTGTATTTGGTTCTGCGACCACTACCGTCCTACCTTATCGCGATCATATCCGATATGCGATCTGACTAGTGTTCAATGATAGGTATTCGCTATGATATAAGATGCCCTGTAGGCTAAGCGTTACGTCCTGAAAGACGGCGCTGTATTAGCATGTGACTGATGATCCCTGATGAACATCGCGGCGAAACCTCTGACTGAAGCCGAAGAAACAGTGCATCGTTTCTCTTGCCCGCGACGCTTGCTAGCTTACGTGTTTATCCTCCCTGTGTCTATGTAGGATCTGGAACACCTGGATGATCACACGGATGCTGCGTTGTAGCTATTCGCGTCAGTGGGTTTCAATGCAGACCAATCCGATTATGATCCAAGATGCTTACTGCTGAAATACTAATTGTATCACGAAAAGCGGCTTGCACACAGTAGCTAGTACCATACTAGAAGTACACATCTATCGAAGTAACCTCGTATCAACACAGCGGATTAGCTTTGCTTGCTTCCTCTTCCAGGAGAGCGATCAGATCAGTAAGGATATCGCAGGTGCAAGCCTTTAATTCCTTGAAGACAGTCAATGTGGCAGGGCTTTCCTGCTCGGATGCATTATCACCTGTCGCCAGTCATGCTTTCAGCTGTCGAGGAAAGGCGTGTGAGATGCTGTCTATTTCTTGAATCCGACTGTATTTCCGCTCACGATGCGCTGTATTCTTTTGTACACATTTCCATTGTTTTGGCAGTCCAATGTGTCAATTTTTGACAACCGATGCCCCTTTTTCTTTTCACAATATACTTACCTTCCTCTCACCCGAGCCACCTTTTTTTCTTCCGTGAGTCAGTGCTTTCTGCTACAGACTATTGCCCATTGCCACGATGCTCCATCCCGCAAACCGCCGTCCTTTCTTCGAACCGTCTTCCCCTCCCTCGAGTCACGTCTTTCTCCTGCCGTCCTCTCCCTTCTCAGGAGCCTTTTTGCGAACCACGTTCACCGCCCACGCGTCTTCTCCTTGTATCACCTCCTGGTGTTACCTCTTGGTGTTACATCCTGGTGTCGCACACCTGTACACGTGTCTCTCAACACCCAACAGCCAGTTCCCCTCCGAAAAAGCCATCACCCATCCTGCACGGCGCCTATCCTCTGCAACCGGAGTTTCATGCATGTCATCGGAGGGTGCTAATCGTTGTTCTAGATGCTTGTCTTTTTTAGCAATGTGTTCCTTCAAATAACGCAAGGCCGAAGCAGGTGTCGCGATCCGAAGCCCTTCCAAAGAGATACGAACCTCAACACCTGCCCCCAGGGATGAGCCTCCCTCCTCCCACGAACCATTCCCGCCCCACCTTCTCTGCCGCTCCACCCAAGTGGCATATCTCAACACGAATGCAAACCTTGCTAGCCTCAACCCAGACGGCAATCGCCGTAGACGCCGAGCATGGTTAGGAGCTCACGTGTGTTTACCTTGTTGTTTGGTCATCACCGAGGGATTCTTGCAGGTCCGGTTGAAAATTAAGCCAGGGTACTGAGAAACCTGTCCGCGTCACTCCCATCGTTGTCTGTTCCTGAGCCTCTGCCTGTTCGGGCCATAATTCCGAACGGGTAGTCATATGAGCTGGCTTCGCTACAGCGGAGATGGCGCTGGTGCGTATGCCGCGCCGTGAAACCACTCAAGAGGTGCTGCACACTTCATAGATGGGCACCCTATCAAACATAACACCATTCCATGCCGTGCCGTGAAACCACTCAAGAGGCGCGCACACTTCATAGATGGGCACCCTATCAAACATGACACCATTCCATGCCGTGCCGTGAAACCACTCAAGATGTGCGCACGCTTCATAGATGGGCACCCTATCAAACATAACACCATTCCATGCCGTGCCGTGAAACCACTCAAGAGGTGCGCACGCTTCATAGATGGGCACCCTATCAAACATAACACCATTCCATGCCGTGCCGTGAAACCACTCAAGAGGCGCGCACACTTCATAGATGGGCACCCTATCAAACATGACACCATTCCATGCCGTGCCGTGAAACCACTCAAGAGGTGCGCACACTTCATAGATGGGCACCCTATCAAACATGACACCATTCCATGCCGTGCCGTGAAACCACTCAAGAGGCGCGCACACTTCATAGATGGGCACCCTATCGAACATGACACCATTCCATGCCGTGCCGTGAAACCACTCAAGAGGTGCGCACACTTCATAGATGGGCATCCTATCAAACATGACACCATTCCAGACTGATCGAGAACGAAACGTGGTAGCGGTCACGGTTAGGCGTTTCCCGAACGGCACAATGATCAGTTATGTGCAGACACTCACGTTGCAGGAAAATGGCGTTTCCTTCTCTGAAATCTAGTGAGCGTACGGAGTGATGGAGAACAGATTTCGACGTGTCTCACGGTCCACGGAACTTTTTAGCCTTGGAAGCTTGGCATAGCACCAGGTCGAGCCAACGCCCTGGCCAGTGGTAAAGCTGGAGGGTGGCATGGGTCGTACTCTCCGACCCTGTAAACACATGGAGCGGCCGACGGTAATAGTTTCAGTTCCTTGTGTTCATTTTGATAATTGCAGTCACATAACATGTTTATCAGGGTTATTTGGAACCAAATGCGATGAGCCTACAAAGATGCTATTACGGTACGAAACTATGAAATTGTGGAGTAAAAAGCTTAAAGTTACCCTTAAATCTTCAGAACGACAGTCGAATAAGATAGCAGATCTGATATTTTACTGGGGGAATGCAATACGCTAAATCATGGGAATTGTACAAAACACGTACAGAAGGGCCCAATATAATGCATCAAATCACATGCAGTTTTTGTTACATGGTAACATCTAAACAGATGACTAAACAGTCCTTTTGTGACAAAAAGCTCAACATTTGTTGTTTTTGTTGTTGAGACGTGTCCTGCCCGAGCTATTTAGTTTATTACTGTTTATTCTCTGCCACAACGGTGCGGGAAAAACGTGTGAGAAGAGGTGTAAGAAAAGGCAGCCAGTAAAAACCAAAGATTTGTGCTTCGCAAATTTTCGTGCCGGTGGTTCTATGCCTCTGACCAACGTCTGCATCTCAGACGAGAGCTGGCTTCCAGCCAGCATCATAACATGCGTAGCCCAAGAAAAGATTGTTTGCTGTGCACACCGGCAGGCGTAGGTTCTCAGTCCGAAAGTATGGGATTCGTGGTGGGCTGGGCTCTACTTGGTTGAATAAATTAAAACTACGGTGGTGCACAATACGTGGTTTGGATCTGCGAAGGCCTCCTGACCGCCTCCACGTATCATGTCTGTGCATGCAGCTATCGACGACAGACACCCGACGGACACGCCCTCTGCAGTCCTGACTGGTAAGCAGGTCGTAGGGAAATGTCTGTGCATGCGACTCTCGACGACAGCCACCCGACGGACACGCCCTCTGCAGTCCTGGCTGGTAAGCAGGTCGTAGGGAAATGTGCCCAGTGGACTGGTTTGGCTTGCTTCGGCTGCTCGGGATCCGGGGTCATGCAACAGGCTGCGTTTAGCAAGTGCAACGAGAACAAGGCATCCTTGCAAAGTATTTGATAGTTTTGTATAAACACGGGAACAGTTAATAAGTGTGGGGGATTTCAAGAAAGCAGGAGAGCAGCGTAGCTGTGAGGAAACTGTTGAATATGGTCTAAAATCGTGGTTTGATTAGGGAAAGCAAGATCGTAACTTGACCCTGCAGTTAAAGCCTGGCTACTGTACTGGACCTGACACCCATCATACTTGCCAGCCATCCATGGCCCGTGTTGTGAAAGACTGCCTGCATATTAAACCTCATCCTGATTGGCCTTTTCCATAATGCGCTTTAACAGAGGACAAAGGTCTATGTGACTCTCCTCTGCCAAATAAAATTAAAAGATTCCAAATTAAAAGAGTGGATCGTTCTCTACAAGTTCTCGCGATCGGTAAAACACGTATTATGTCTTTAATGCATGCTTCTAATTGACCCCATTATGCTGCATCAAAGGTCCATTTATTCCGATGATCTCAATTTTGCAGCTTTACAGCTTTTGAAACCATGTCTCGTAGTGAAATGCAACTTACCCAAGCGTGTCCTTGTTGAATTGGAAGCGCAATGGCATTTTTCTATCTTTATGTGTTTTGGGCATATATGTATAATGCAAAGCTCTGTCAATGTGGGTCAGGTCTAATGGCCATCACGTGAGGTGAAGCCCACTGGTGTTATGCAGAATGGGCTTACGAGCTTGACTGGATAAGGAATATCGGGGCGTAATGGGGTATGCTTAAGAGCACGAGACTTTGAAAATAGCTGACATACGTTTCCGGAAGTTCAGGAGACATGTTTCGCGCACTGCAAGATGCGTTAGGAAAATCCTCAAACAAATTGTTGCGTGTGCTATGTTCTCATGGTTAGCGGCACTTACGTACCATAAATGCTTCAATGATCGTTTCAATAAAGAAGCAATCATTTGTAAAAGTATCGTGTGATTGTCTAATAATTTCCAGAGTTTTCGTATTTACCGTAACAAGAGTTTCCAATATCTTAAGCAATATCTACTGTTACCACTGGCGGGGGGGGGGGGGGGGGCTTCACGAGGAGCCATCTGGCAGCAATGGATTAACGATTGACCATCCCTATAAAAGCAGTGCAACTGTGTGTAACGTGTCGTGACGTGTTGTGACGTGGCGTGGCGCGGCGTGACGTGGCGTGACCGTCGTTTCAGGCTTAACTTTTTCGAGATGGTGGGTAGCCGTCGCTCTCCGGTAACCATGGGCCTGGCGGTGATCGGCGGCGTCTGCTCGCCCAAGTACTCGTGCGTTATTGGTGAACTGGGCACCACCAACGATCAGGTCAGTCAATGCCCAGGTCTTCTTTGCCAACGACCAGATCTTCCACATCTTCCACGTTTGTGGGCTGTGGAAGCGCCTTGCCAGGATTCCAAGAATCATTAACGACATCGTTGCCATGCTGTCATTATATAATTGCCATTAAAGGCCTGTGGATTCGTCTTGTCTAGTTGGTGATGCCAGCTGGTGTCCTTGACACTATTGTGCCGCTGCCAACCAGCTGATTAAAACGCAAACAATTTAATTAGCGGCAGCCCAGTGTTAATCTTCGAGTCATTCGTGAGAAAATGGGGCAAGTTGGGCTTTAAGTGTGCACCTTTTATCAAAACTCCGGCCAATGTGCATCAGTTAACTTCGGATGACCTGTTCTCGTGTCACGCCGTGCATGGTAAACACACGTGTTATAAACCTCACCTCGTATTTGCGACTCTGCCTTTGTCCTTGAACTCGATGTCGGAGTTCAGAAACGGTGTCGCAGTGCATACCTGTTGGCTTGACATGGTACCGCTTACGCGCCGTAAGACGGTAAAAGTTTTGCAGATGCATCAGCCAGATTGTCTCAATGATTGCTTGATCCAGCGACGTGGGGCCGCGCCATAGCTCTCTAAGTGTTCACGACGTCGGAAAGGGACGTTTGCAGCTGCAGTTAGCGGGCGCATGAGTGAAAAGCAATGCTCACAGGAAAGCAGGGCAGGGCTTGTAAAGGAGATGTATTTGTGCTTGCAAGGAATGCAGACATGGTGCTTGAGGACGGTTATGTGAAAAAGAAATGTGATTTCATGGAGAGGAAATTGATTTCCACTTTACGATCTTTGGCTCCAGGCTTTTCATAGGTAAACGTTTTACTGACCTCAAGAGGTGCAGCAAAAATATTCACACGGACAGTTATAGCCAACGCATCACCAAGGGCGGATAATGCTTAGAAAATCTGGTGTGCTGAAATCGAAACGGATGTGACGACGATTATTTCCACTCATCGCGGAAGAGTTCACGTTAAACTATCCAGAAAAGTCATGAAACTGTGGCCTTCTGGGGCATGGGTCCTTTGCCCACAATTGCCACCGCAGCTGGTGTGGCCGCTTCCACACCTGCCATACCACGGTCGCCACCACGTCATACAACCCGACTCTGCTCGCTCAAGCTCGAAATACGGCTTTGTGTTTGTTTTGAGTGCAGTTAATGTGCTAACTAGTTCGAATACCGTTTTGTTTTGTTTTAAACGCAGTTATTGTTTTAAGTGCATTTGTTAGCGCTATTAATCAGCAGCATCTTTAACAAACCAAGCGAAGTTCGAACAGTAATCCAAACCATTATGATAACCTCAGCCAACCTTCAGCGACATCTGCAACTCCCAGTACTTTTTTGCACCCGTTAGACTAAGCAGAGCTGGCAGTCAGTGCGGAAAGGCATGACTAGACAGATCCGGCACAACTTCGAAAGCATATATGCATGCAAAGCAATGGCCTCATCCAGATACCAAGAATCAAAAATCCGGTTCCATTTATCGCCAACCGTTCAGATTAAGCGCACGTCGCCACAGCATACTGCAGGTGGGTTTCAAAGAAAACCAAAAAAGGCAGTTCCGTGATCAAAACGACATCAGTAAGCGGATAAACGCATCGCGCCATAAAAAACGCGGCTGGCGGAGAGCGACTAATGACCGCAATTTGATCATCCTGCCCTCGTCACGTCTGCTGTCACGTGAGATGGCGGAGCGTTTAGCCCCAGCTGACTCCTGCGCCACCCTGTGTGAGAAAGCCACCCGTCTGGTCGCGCTCACGTTAGCTCACGTGGCTCCCCGCAGGGCAAGCCGTACCCGTCAGCCGGCTTCACCGCTGCCTATATCATGGCGCACGAGATGGGCCACAACCTGGGCATGTTCCACGACTCGCAGCGCAACGCGTGCCCCGCCAACGGCTACATCATGTCACCGAGCCGCGGCACCAAGGGCGAGACCACCTGGTCCGCCTGCAGCCGGCAGACACTGCGCAACATGCCGTGAGTACAGCGGGCCGGCGCGGAATGCCGTAAGTGTGGCGGACACTGCGCAGAATGCCGCGAGTGTGGGGAATACCGCGCAGCATACCGTGAGTATAACGGAGTGGCGCAGCGTGCCGTAAGTGTAGCGGACACTGCAAGATGATCACAGCTGTTATTGCTCATCCATGTGCACGTTTAGTTTGGTTACTGCATCTCACCTTTGAAACGTGCGGTATTAAGCGATGTTACCCCGGGAGCGTACTGCACGCTGCGGAACAAATCAGGATTGTATGGATCCCGGCTTGCTGTGAGCATGCAGAACACTGCAGGACCTGCTGTACGCGTTGAGCATTTTCGATGCATTGGACAATGAAGCCCTATAGACTTCTGCGCGGGGTCTTCGACTTATGTGGCAAGTTTGGTTAATATCCTGTTTATCCGCCACACCACACCCCACTGGCAAATGCCATATCACATCGTGTCGTACCTTACATACAAAATTGCTTAACGTGATTAGCGTTAATCAACTCTTATGAGATTAGTGGGCTTTTGCAAAAGACTGCACTTGTGATTGAAAATGTACTCTCTACGGGAAAAGTTGCTGAGAATGGGACTTACAAGAATAACTGTGAACGGCGGTTAATCAGTTCAGTTTTCCAAATGCCTTCGGTCATTGCTGCAGAGCTGGTGTCGACGCGAGGCTGGCGAAATTCCGGCTCAGCCGCCGCGCGCTGCAAAAGAAATTACCGCCATTTGCGAGAGTGTGATCTATCGGTTCCCGAAAGCCGCTGACCAGGCCACAAAGCTCTTCAAAGAACGCGCACTCCAAATTGACCACAAGGTTCGCGCCATTAAAACCTTTATTTCAAGGCTTGACGCGGAGGCAGTTCGGCACATTCCGCGTCGACGCGGCTGAATGTGCTTCTTGTCTCATCGTCGGGCAAGAACGACTTCCACATCTAGGTTTCCATGTCACGCTTTATATGCTTTCATGTTGCATCGTGTGTACAGTGGGCTTAATACATCAGTGTGTTTCGAGAGCCTGAAGCAGCATCGTCTAAAATTAAAAAAGGAGGGTCAATATACACCATGGGTGGCACCTAGCTTCAAAAATGATATCCACCACCCCACAGCCTTGGTTGTTTTCTTCTGGCGATACATTTGTTTTGTAAGCCTTGATAAGCATCGGAAGTATTAACTTCAATACAATCAGCATTCCAGCTGTTTAGCTCTAGCGGACGTTAGTATGTAGGCATAACCTCAGTGAGTTATAAAACCACATTTTTTCGAAACGGTGCCTTCCGTTTTTTCTCGTTAACCTGATGTGCAATGCCACATTGATAAGTCCAGAACCTGCCGGATGTGACCGTTAGGGTTCAGAAAATGCCAGAATTCTGAGTAACCTCAGGTTGCATGCACTAACCGAATCCACTTTTTGTACATTAGTATGTACCGCACGACCGCATGATCAAAGGGATCCCATGCATGCACGCTGACTTTAAATGCAGCGACAAGTAAAATGCAGCTGCATGAACACCATCGAGGTGGCAGGCTGAATAAGTTCCATTGGAACCATGTGAAAATGTTCTGGGTTAGTGGCCAGGACCGACCCAGACCACCCGTTATCCTTTTGCAATATGATATTGCTACTATCTCGGATTGTAGCTCTAAATAGTTTTCAGCAACAAGTAACACAATTTTTAAGAGCTGTGCTGCAGCACTGTAACTGCAGGTGCATGCCATCTTCTTGACCAGATACGGTTTATTTGCAGGGCTGCAAAAGGTACACAATTAAGAGGAAATAAAGTTTTTTTGGTCAAGTCGTAATCTCCTTGAGTCAAAACCTTGATGATAAGATTGTCTTGTGATGTGCAGGATTTGCTTGCTGTCTTTGTCTCACTCATATCAATCATTGCACCACAATTCTTCGGAATCTGCTTAAATCTTCATTGACATTGGAGAGATCTACCGCTTTCAAACGAAATGTCCAAAAACCATGTTTATGTCACGTACCAACCGATTGTATTGTCTACAAATCTAATCCATGATTGCCCTGAAAGTTAGCATGAAGGATTTCTCGCAGCATTTAGGTACAAGTCGCTGATTTTCCCGCATAAAATGGAACTTACCTTTAGAATCAGCACTAAATATTCGGAGCTGAGCAATAACACCTAATCAGTACACACAATCAGTACTAATCAGTACACACACTCTACTGAGATCAGATACATTTGTGCAGGTTCATTTAGATGTTTGGATCCTGTCGTTTAGTTTTGACACTGTTAGCGTGATGACACACCAGTAGCTACCTTGCTCGTCCTACTACAAACCCGATGTTTGCTAGGGTTTATGGGTATAACGCACGCACAATGATGTCAACATACTCATGCAGAATAGTGCACATGTCATACAACACGACCCTTACATACAATACAAATTTTCATATCACCTGTCACCAATACCTCAAAAATCCCCCTAAAAATGAGAGTTACAAGCTCGTACAATACATTTACCAGGCCTGTCTTCCAGTGAAAATTGCTTAAATGACCTGCCGAGGAAGAAGGCCGTCCAAAACCACCGGATCTTTCGCGAGATGCCTGGCCAAGTGTATGACGCCTTCGACCAGTGTCAGCTGCTGCTGAAGGACAGGGATGCCGAAATCTTCAGCCCAGACGACCTTTACGTGAGCGCAGTCCACTGCTGCGCGGCGGCGAACGCGCAGCTCGCGCGCCACACATGCCGCGCGCGCGAGCACGGTTGGGCCTCTCGGGTGTTGTGCCGTGGCCTCGCGGCGGGGTCAGCCACTCAGCACGCGATGCTCCTACGAAACGAAGCTGCTCGTGTTGCCCGCACCTGTACACAGGGCAGGAGCGGTGCCCGCCAGCCCCATGTGCCCTCATCGAGGAGTGCCCAGCAAGTTATGAGACCCGCTGTAAATCGGGTGAAATATATGGCGCGTCACATTATCGCCCCTCACCTTCGCTCGTCCTTCTCGTCAACGGAGCCCTCCCTGTTCTCAGAACGTTTGTGAGCGGGTCAAGTGCAAGTCCCCGCACCGGATCGGCTTCTACTACGCCGGCCCGGCTCTGGAGGGGACGTTTTGCGGGATGGACAGGGTGAGTACAGCGACGTTTGCAAGGAAGTGGCGCGGTGGCATTGTCCACCGGCATACATCTCCACGTCTTGACAGCTGTTCAGACGGCCGATCTGACAGCGACGCTCAAAACACGTGTACAATGTGTCATTACGTTTGGGCGGCGTTTATGCTGGATGGATTACATAAGGCAGCTGCTAAGCCAGGTTTTCGTCTGGGAGGAATGCAAGGTAAGCTGCGCCGTTCTCAGCTCGCCCACTTACCTGTGACAAAACAATCGGCGCTCGGTTCCTGGCATGCGCGACTTTTGATTTGCCGTTGTTAAGCGACGGAGTGAGCAGGGTCGTACTGCGTTCGCAGACTCCGTACTTGACAACGTCAGTTTTTGCGATTAGCGAGAATGGTGATTGAAGGTAGTTTTGTAATCGCCTTTGAGGCCCTCCTTGCACCGCTTAACCCACGTGACACGCGAGTTAGGCTGCAGGTGGTCCGCCTTGCCCTTCACCTGACTGAAAATGTGACGAGCCGCGCGATATCTGCTCGCCATGATCCGGAAACACACACGTCAGCCCTGTGTCGGTATCGGCAGTGGGGTTCGTGTCGGTGCCAGCCCTGTGTCAGTGTCGGCGGCAGGATCGGTGTCGGTGTTAGTCCTGCGTCAGTGTCGGTGTCGGTGTCAGTTCTGTGTCAGTTCCGTGTCAGTGTCGGCGGTGGAGTCAGAGTCGGTGTCAGTCCTGTATCGGTGTCGGGGCCGCGGTTGGTGTCGGTGTCATTCCCGTGTCAGCGTCGATGGTGGGTCGATATCAGTCCTGTGTCAGTGTCAGAGGCTTGGTCGGTGTAAATGTCAGCCCTGTGTCAGTGTCGGTGGTGGGGTCGATGTCAGTGTCAGTACTGTGTCAGTGTCGGAGGCAAGTCGGTACCAGCGTCAGCCCTGTGTCAGTGTCGGCGGTGGGGTCATTGTCGGTGTCAGCTTTGTGTCGGTGTCAGCGGTGGGGTCGGTGATGGTTTCACCCCTGTGGCAGTATCGGTGGAGGGATCAGTGTCGGTGTCGGCCCTGTGGCATTGTTGGCGGCGGGCCGAGTACCGTATCCTTCTGGTTCGTGACACCGCCGCCCCCTCTGCCGCAGTGGTGTGTCAGCGGCAGCTGCAGAGCGTGGTCGTCGCCGCCGCCGCCCATCATACAGGGCGGCTGGAGTGACTGGAACATCTCCGCGTGCACCTCAGGCTGCATTGAGAAGGCCACCGGTCAGTAGCACCTGACGATTTCGAGCGCCCGCTGGTGGCGAAATGCTGTTCCGGAAGTAGGGCATAGTGACTGGGACCTGGTTCTGCGCTGTGTTTCTCACGATCAGGGCTACAACCGGAACTTTGTCGGGAAATGCAGTTGCTGATGTGCCGGACGGGTCATATGATCTCACAGCCGGTCTTTGCCTGACTCCAGTGGAATCAAATTTGACTCGGGATCAGTCCCGCTCTTGCCGAAATCAGATGAGGATTAAATTCACTTGTCAACTTTTTTACACAAAGTCAGTCACTGGTCCAATGGCTAAAAAGCTGAATCAGATTTTGTATTGCTTCACATAGCTTGCAAAATAATATTTGACTATTGCCCTTTCGAAAACATCTGACGCACAAAATGGTCGGGCCGAAGCCTGTCAGCCGCCTGCATGCTCCATTTGCTTTGACTCGGTTTCGAAATGGATTCCTCCCTAGCCGAATCGCGCACATGTTTGGTCACAGCCTCGACACGTGTCCATGCGGCACCAGCCATAGACGCCGCCGCGCACATACCAGACAACTGCATCAATGATCTAGCCAGCGCCAACTGCAATTGCCCGTCACGAAGTGTCAGTCCACGCCACCTCAGCTTTCGCAGCGCCACCTACGTCCATCACTCCCCCGACAGGCATTGCCATCTCAGAGCGTCGCTGCGACAACCCGAAGCCACTGAACACGGAGAAGCGCTGCCCAGGTCCGTCCACCAACACGCAGTTCTGCAACGACCAGGCGCTCTGCAGCTACCGCCTGAGCGTCACGCAGTACGCTTCGCAGAAATGTCGGGAGTTCAGTCAGATCGTCAAGGACCTGCGAGCGGACGGCGAGGGCACCCAGGTGCCGCACTCCGACCGTGAGTTATCTGGGGCCGTCAGCGGAACCACAGCTTGAGGTTGGGATATACCACCCCTACCCCGCATTCCAACAGTCATACGTTTGCAACGATGATAAGGTCACAGTCTGTGGCTGAGTGACATCACTGACGTCCAGTACTCAAACGGCGAATCTTCGACAGCGATCATGATTGCAGCTTGAACATGATTGTTGACTTGCTTGGGATGCAAATTCTATTAAAGCTATGTTTACCTCGCCGCGAGAGCAAGGCCAATCACGATGTATGTGAGATGGCAGGGAGATAGCTAGCAAGTAATGTTGCATTAACGCCAAACATGGCGTCAGAAACGTTGGTGATTGTCGACATTTGATTGTTGACATATGACCGCTCACTTCGCCGTGATCCCCTCCAGATAAGCCATGGAGCGCCTGCTCCATCTATTGCCGCCTGAACAGCGGCACCTGGTACACGCCACGGCAGGACCTCAACGACAGAGGGGTGGACGCCTACTTCCCGGACGGCACCTGGTGCCACAACGACGGCTCGCGCGACTTCTACTGCCAGCGGCACGAGTGCCGGCCCAAGGTGGCGGACCCGCCGCTGCCGCCGCGGGAGGCACGCGCCATTCCGTCGGCCGCCGCCTGGGTGACGACCACGCGTGCCCCGCCCACCGCCACCACGCCCTTCTTCCGGTCCACATACCAGCCCGAGAGGACGACGCGCCGGCCGGACCGCACCACCTCCCAGCCCGCGCGCACCACCTACCGGCCATCGAGCGAAGCAGAGTCTGGGGATAGGTGGCAGCAGCAGCGGCCCGCCAGGCCGACGCGCTTCCCGCCGAGGCCGGAGCCGACCGCTTGGGCGCCAGAGGCGCGGCCGACCGCGTGGCCACCAAACAACGGTCTCGGCCAGGTGGGCGACCGCTGGCTGCTTAACAGCGAGCCGACGCGGGGAACTGAGCGGCCACCGCCCACGTGGTTCTTCAACGTGGACGGCACGCGGCCGACGGAGGGCCCGGCGTCAGGCCGCTGGTTCTTCAACGACCCGTCGCTGCGGCCGACACAGGCCGGCGACTGGTCGGTGTCGCGCGTGCAGACCGGTCGCGCCATCAAGTCCACGCGTTGGCCGGGCGGGCGGCGCGGCCGCCTCTTGGACGAGGCGGCGGCATGGCCGGACGGCCGCGTGCGCTGGCCGGAGGAGACGGGCTCGGCGGCGCGCGGGCGCAGCGAGGACAGTGTCGTCAGGTGGCCGGATACGACCGAGTCGACCCGCTGGCTGGTGCGGCCCACCATGCCCACCCTACCGCCCGGACAGCTGGGCGGCGGTGGCCTCCTGGGCAGCGCCGTCTCCGGCTTCTGGTGTCAGCTGCTCGGCTCTTGCGACTGAGGTGAGTAAGCGGCTGGACCTTCCCGGAAGGCGCAGACGATGTAGGTGGTGATGCCGCAGAGAAGGGAATATCTGTGACGTGCGTTACGTCCGAGACGTAAAACTACAAACGAAACAAAATGGCTGTTAAATTTGCCATGGATTTGAAGCCTTGGATTAACATGTAAGATGCTCGTTTATTAGCATCGAGTGCTGGTCATACTCTAGTGGGAGCTGCATAAAGCTGGCTGATCAGAGCAACTGATGCAAACCTCACCAATCGCTTGATATGATCAAGGCCCTTGAAGCAAATTTGTCAAAGCTCTGAATCTGTTGTAACTTTGCAGGCGCATGGGACTACATGGCAATGACGCCCCGGAGGATCTCTGTTCCCGCCCGTCCCGGATCACAACGGGACATGAGGACCGTCATCGCCAGGCGCCAGACGCGGTCAGCCGACGCCAAACGGGAATCCGGTCACGGCTTGGGGGCACGAGACTGAACTCTCCAGCTGTGAGCCCCGCCAGACGGGAGCAGGCCCGAGTCGGAGTGGGCTGGAGCGCGGCGCAGAGCAGATTTCGGCGCCCGCACAGTGTGCATCGATAGCCGGGAGGAAGGAGCCTGGCTTGCGCGGAGCCGGAGCTGGGAGCACGCGCGCACCTGGCGCACAGACCACCGTGGTCCCCGGCCTGCCTCGGATCTCAGGGGCGGGAGCAGCTACAAAGACGCGCCAACGTGCGCAGCACACGGGATCTGGGTATTTTAGCAGCCGTGGCCAGATCTGTATCGGCGGGGCGTAGTATAGATTTTGCAGAGAATTGTCAGTGGTTTTGCGAGTTCGAAGCTGTCATGCGCTCGCTTGCCTGTGATTAGTTTTTTGGTGCTTGGGTGGATGTGGATAGGCATTGACAAATGAATGCACCATTGGTGGGTTAAACGTCGATTCTTGATCGTTTAATGAAACAATCAAAGTAAGGGAGATGTGCTCTGGAGTCCTTGGAGACTGCCGGCTACTTGCGTGCTGGTGCCTGCAGAAGATGTTTCCAGCGTGAAGATATTGCAAAAAAGGCACCGTTCAGTGCCTAAAAGCTGCAGATATTAATGGCTGAAAAGCCTCCTGCCATGGAAGCCTCTGATGCTCGTCTTTGACGTGCTGGTGATTGTAAGCGTCGACATCAAGTGATGTTGCCGCCAAACTGACGGGCTCATATCGACTGCACTGACGGGTTCGTCGCCGTATTCAGAACCATGCCAACTACATATCGCCCCTGTGCCTGTTACCGCTACCGTTGTGTGACGCATTCTCGATCGATGACCACTCGCCTGGCCCTGCAGTAAACAGGAGGCATCATACTGCACTGTGCAGTCCAGCGACTGTGCAGGCTGACAGAGCCACGGCTGCACCGCACAGTGCAGTCCAGCGGCTGTGCAGGCTGACAGAGCCACGGCTGCACCGCACAGTGCAGTCCAGCGGCTGTGCAGGCTGACGGAGCCACAGCTGCACCGCACAGTGCAGTCCAGCGGCTGTGCAGGCTGACAGAGCCACGGCTGCCCCGCACAGTGCAGTCCAGCGGCTGTGCAGGCTGACAGAGCCACGGCTGCACCGCACAATGCAGTCCAACGGCTGTGCAGGCTGACAGAGCCACGGCTGCACCGCACAGTGCAGTCCAGCGGCTGTGCAGGCTGACAGAGCCACGGCTGCACCGCACAGTGCAGTCGAGCAACTGTGCAGGCTGACAGAGCCACAGCTGCACCGCACAGTGCAGTCCAGCGGCCGTGCAGGCTGACAGAGCCACGGCTGCACCGCACAGTGCAGTCCAGCGGCTGTGCAGGCTGACAGAGCCACGGCTGCACCGCACAGTGCAGTCCAGCGGCTGTGCAGGCTGACAGAGCCACAGCTGCACCGCACAGTGCAGTCCAGCGGCTGTGCAGGCTGACAGAGCCACGGTTGCACCGCACAGTGCAGTCGAGCAACTGTGCAGGCTGACAGAGCCACGGCTGCACCGCACAGTGCAGTCCAACGGCTGTGCAGGCTGACAGAGCCACGGCTGCACCGCACAGTGCAGTCCAGGGGCTGTGCAGGCTGACAGAGCCACAGCTGCACCGCACAGTGCAGTCCAGCGGCTGTGCAGGCTGACAGAGCCACGGCTGCACCGCACAGTTTAGTCCAGCGGCTGTGCAGGCTGACAGAGCCACGGCTGCACCGCACAGTGCAGTCCAACGGCTGTGCAGGCTGACAGACTCGCACCTGCGTCGCAGTGAGGCTGCGGGTTTAATGACGTCACGGGCCGGGCCGACGCCGCTGGGATGGATGTACTCGTTCGTATCGGTCTCCGTTACCGTCCTGCGATGGAATGCGTTTGTTACCATTTGATGCAGCAGTCGGTGCTCCTGACTTACTGCATGCTGCGTCGGTTCAGAAGGTCTGAGCGGCTGAACGTCTGCCAAGCTCGCCATATTGAATAGCTGAATTGTGCGTTTAAAATGCATCTTCTCGTTCGCCGTATTGTAGTGCATTTGCTTGAACTGAAATAAATGAGATTAAAACAATACGTGCAGTGCAATGTTCTTTAGTTTTAGCTGTGTTTCAGTTGGTAAGGGTGCTGTTGAGAGCATTAAGGATAAGAGAGCGTGGTCTTTTTCATCCAGCCCCACAAACATCAAACGGAAACGAATTAAGCTGAAAACCTATGGGGTTGAGCGCACGAAGCAGGAAGAACACTTGTTTGTACATACTCAAATCTGTTTTCGGCTGGGATTCAGCACTAAGATGAGCTTAGACTCAAGCTGAAATACCATCAGCGTATCATGAGTACGCGCCAAGGGGGGTAAAAACTGCGCATTTCGCTGAAACTTTCGAATCATGCATCAAAGCCAGGACTGGATCTCGGACGAAGCTTCCAACGCTCTCACGACTCACGAGCATTAGCTGGCGCCCGAATAAGCCCGTAAAGCTCGCCCTCCATGTTCGATGAGGCCCGGAACCAGGCCCTGTTGAATTTCAGCTGAGGCAATGGAGGTGGCGTGTAGACATGCATCGTTTAACTCGCGTGCTTGCTGCCCATAAAATGTGACTCGACGGGAAACGATATGATAAAGGGATCTTCACATTGCCCTGAGTGTCGCGCGTCGCCCAAAAAGCACGCCTGCGACCATGGTCCGAAGCACGACATCCATCCGACTCATTCGGGGTAAAACTGAGGATAACATTGAACCACATCACAGGCGCCTCCTGAGTTCCTCATCACAGTGGGAATGAACGAAAGCCGTACAACTGGTGCACGGTAGGTGAGCACGTCCCAGCCGCACGCGCGTCCCAAAACAGTCCTGGCAGTCGCGGCGACGACGGTCTCACATCCAGGCAATATGCGAGCAGGCGCAGCGTCGGCCCGTCTTCAGCGCACCGGTAGCGTGCGCGCCCGTGGAGGAGCCCCCCCCCCCCCTCCCCCTCTTCACCAATCCGCGCCGGCTCCGGATTCCGCACGCTCAATTTCGGCGGCGATAAATACGTCAGGATCAAAAGACGTGACGTAAGACGGCACCGCTTGCATGGAGGCTTAACGGTGCAGCGCCAAGTCCCGGCGTGGGCAGTGCTTCCCACGCCACGGCCCCCGGACCTCCTCCCCCCCCCCCCCGCTCACGGATGATCGGTGGGTGGGGGGGGGGCTGGGGGGGGGGGCTGGTGACTGCCTCCAGCGTGTGTTCAGCTCCCGATCTAGCCAGGGACTGGGACACTGTCTACCGTACATGATTTTTAAAATAATTTTTGGGGGCAATGAGGCTGAGTGGTGCGACACCAAAATGGCGGCATCTCAACGTCCTGCAAGTCGCATAGAGATGAGCTGATTATCCTTTGTTCGAGTGCCTACGTTACGTGGCGCACAGCTGGAGCAGTTAAACATAAGCAAATTAGACGTAGCGTGAGCAAAATCGCGTTGCTTAAATTTAATCTTTCTATCGAATGGGAGCTGGGGCCAACATGAGTCAGCCAATGCAGCGTGCTGTTAAGTGCATTTCAGTTCCATGCAAAGCATGCTGAAATGATAGTGAGTTCAGTTAGATCAGTTCTGCTCAGTATGTTTTCAGCAATAACAAGCGAACAGTCGAAAATGCTGCCCCTCTTTAGTGTTTGTAATCTGCTCATTTCGTCTGGTTAAACAATCTTTCGAGCGCATGTCGGCAATTATAGACTTCTATCATCTCTATCACACACATAACTATCACATCCTTATGAAGGGGAAAATATGTCGTCACTTACATATAATTTTGCAGCTGATGACAATTCGTCTCATCAAGCATGTGATAAGCTTACATGTAATTCCATTGATCACTTGATGTGGTCAATGATCATCCCTGCAGCAGCAACGTTTTTTGTTCCGTATTAACTAGCGTTCTCAGGACCACCGCCTTGTTAGATCTGTCTGATAAAACTCTTCAAAAAGGCTGAAGATGCGGTCTTATTGGGTCAAGTTCGACGGACGTAGTCGTTCTGCTTCATCTGGGTACCGACCACATCTTGTTTCATGTGGACCTCCGACAGACTAGAAACCCGACAAGAGTCCAAGTCACACACCACCATCCCCCCCCCCCCTTCTTCTAGCGTCCGTACACTGGCCCTCCCCAGACCCGCTCACCCTCCGGCCCCAGGACTCCGCCCGTGCCGGCGTCTGCCCGGAGAGAGCGAGAGGAGGCCCGGCGCTGCTCTCCGGACACGGGAGCACGCGCCGGGCCGGCCGCGCGAATCAACAGAGCCGGCCGCCATCGACCGGGCGCTCGATGGCGGCCGGCTGACGTCACGGCGGCGGCGGCGGCGGCGGCCGTCGGCGTCGACGCGCCGCCAGTCGCGCGGCCATGATGGAGGCCGAGACCGGGCCGTCGGCTCCGCTGCAGCGGCTGCGGGGCGTCATCGACGGCTTGGTGGCGGCCAGCGAAGCGTCCGCCACCGCCGCCGCCGCCGGAGCCCCTGCCGCCTCCCCCGCCGCCGCCGCCGCCGGAGCCGGCGACAACTTCTGGCGCGCCGTCACGCCGCAGATGTCCTACATCGACGCGAGCACGCGCTCGTCGCTGAACCAGGAGCAGGACGGCGGCAGCCGCGGCAGCGGGCGCCGGCCGGGCGCTGGCAGCGCCGGCAGCCTCCAGCTGGTGGACACGACGGTTACGGTGGCGCGCGCCGGCAGCGGGCCCGGCGCCGACACGGCCATCGTCAAGACGCGCGTTAAGCGGCTCAGCTTCGGTGACGTGACGGAAGAGTCACGCACCTTCTACACGCCCGAGGCGGAGGCGGCGGGCGCGGCGGAAGCAGACCACTTCCGGAGCCGACAGGAGCGCGGCTCGCTGGACGCCCTGTCCTCCTATTCGCTCTACATGGACAAGGACCTGCGCTACTACTTCCAGCACCCGTACATTCGCCTCATCGTGGCTTATTTTGTGATCTTCTGTAATTTTCTACTGTTCGCCGAGGACCCCGTGTCGCACAGCCACGCCGGTAAGTGTGACGTTGGTTGTTGGTACGCTCGATAGTGGTGTTAATCGCTGTTTTAAGTTATTTAGTGCATTTGCGAGGAACGTTGCTCACATGCATAATACAGTGGTTGCCACTGTTTTGATAAAGGTGTGCTATCGAAATATAAAGCCATCTATATCTCCGTTCTCCCAGCTTTTCTCCAAGGAATAAGGTTATTATCACTGTCCTATCTATGGTATTAAGAAAGTGTGGAAAGCTACGGGTTCCCCTCCCACGAACGCGATGTAATATTCATTGGCAATGTAGTCTGTTGCGCACCTGGCAACTACTGCAATGACGAAACTTTATTAGCATAGGTTGCTAGAGCGCTGTTGATATTCTTGTTTGCATCTTGTTTGACTCAGAAAAAGCCAGCCAGATTTTGGGGGATTTATAGCGTCCATTCGCAGCACTTAAGATTCTTCTGACCTGTGTCCAATCAAAGTCAGCCCCAGTTTTCCATCACGTTGGGTTCAATACACAGTGGGTGACGAGCAGGTCTGCCCTATTATTGCCAACAGCAGGAAAAGCAGACAAGATCGCAAGCAAAATGTGGCATCTTGCATCGTCATGCAATCAAACATAATGACGTTATCCTAATTTTGGAACATCTTTCTTTTTTAATTGGTGAAGGACTTTCTATTAATAAGGCTTCATGTTACAATGAATAAAATGTGTAACCAGGGACTTAAAGTGCAGCTAGTAAGATGTGAACGTGACTAGGCCTAAGTTCCTCATTTAGTTGAGTGAAGTGGCTCCAGCCCCTTTCCTTAGCGTTGAGAAGAAAGGGGGACAAAATCGGAGAGAAATCCTCTTTTGGGGTCACATTTTGGCGGCAGTGAGGTATAGCTACTATTCACCCCTCAGCCCCGCTCCCTCCTCCCACTCATTTAACGAATTTACTCTCCTGAACGTGACGGTTATTTAAATTGAAGGCCAGAAAAGGCAAGTGATTAAAAACATTAATGGCAGATTTTTTGCTGAGGTCACCCCAGGCGCAGAGGTAAGGGTGGGTGGGTGGGGGGGGGGGGGTAAGTGTGGGAAAGGACGGTGCTGGTGGGAGTAAGTGAGCGGGTCCGACGACAATACTGACGCAGCTAAGCCAAGCGCAGAGATCAGTTCTTAAGTGCTAAGTGCGCGGTCGTCAGGTGATGGTCGTGTTGCTCAAATCATATATATGTATATATATATATATATATATATATATATATATATATATATATATATATATATATATATATATCTATCTATCTATCTATCTATCTATCTATCTATCTATCTATCTATCTATCTATCTATCTATCTATCTATCTATCTATCTATCTATCTATATATATATATATATATATATATATATATATATATATATATATATATATATATATATGTGTGTATATATATGTTTGTATATATATATATGTATATATGTATATATATATATATATATATATATATATATATATATATATATACATAACCCTGTTTTCCCCTCTCGGAAATCCTTGTTATTTCCGATACAACCACCATATCACGCCTGTAAAGCATGCTGATTATCCTCACTTGAACAAAAACGAAATCTAGTCTTTCCACCACCTGTCGAAAATCAAGACACACGTCTCGCAGTCCTACGACAAAAAGACCTTGTTTATACAAAAGAAGGAACCGCGCAACGTCCACCCTGTCTGCTGGCACCAAACACCTAGCAAGAGCACGCACAGCGCAGCGTTTTATTTGGCTCCGACGGCCTAATATGACTGAGTACAACAGAACGCGGCCGCACTCATACCAGCCCCCGACAGACGGCGCCGACAGCGTCCATTGTCGAGCACATCCGCACCTTTGTGCGGCGCCAGATGCATCTCCCATCCCTTCCTGCTCCGTGTCGGCCTGCAGCCGTCCGGCTGGCTCCGCCGCGGTCGCTCCCGCGTCCGGCTTCAGCCTGCCACGTCCGGGGCCTGCGTCGGATGGCTGCAGGGGACTCTGCCGGAATCCGGCGAGGTGCCCGAGCGACGACAGCGAGCGAGCGAGAGAGAGAGAGAGAGAGAGAGAGAGAGAGAGAGAGAGAGAGAGAGAGAGAGAGAGAGAGAGAGAGAGAGAGAGAGAGAGAGAGAGAGAGAGAGACAGAGAGAGAGAGAGAGAGAGAGAGAGAGAGAGAGACAGACAGACAGACAGACAGACAGACAGACAGACAGACAGACAGACAGACAGACAGACAGACAGACAGACAGACAGACAGACAGACAGACAGACAGACAGACAGACGGACAGACAGACAGACAGACAGAGACAGACAGACAGACAGAGAGGGAGAGAGAGAGGGGCAGAGGGAGGAGGGAGAGAGTGAGGGGAGAGGAAGGAGAGAGAGAGAAACGGAACGAAATATGCCAGGAAAAATATAGGGACACGGATGGAGACCGGAAATATATCTGGAGTTAGGGCAGATTTAGGATATGTATCTGGGACAACAGCTGAGGAAATTCTTATGCATGTGGGACAAAGCCGGGGTAGAAGGTCCCTGAAAAAGCGCACTCTCTGATCTTTATCCCACTTCCCCCTCTCTCTCTTGGCCTCAGGCGTGATCCCACTGCCTCTGTCCCTGCTCTGTCCCTGCTCTGTCCCTGCTCCCGTGTCTGTCTGGGCTCAGACATACTTATTTTGATGTCCCGGCCGCAAGCATGCTTCAGTCTCTCTGTCTGTCTCTTTATGTCGCTCCCCGTGTCCCAGACGTGCTTCCTTCTGTTGCTGACCTCGCCCCGGCATATCTCAATATGTCTGTGAGCCCGTTTCGGACATAGATCTTCCTCTCTGACCCCTCCCTACACGAATATATCGTGCCGTCTTTGCCCCGGTCCCAGGCGCGCGTCCTGGCTCCGCCTCACCTCAGACATATATCCCGCCGCGCGCGACCTCAGATGCCGTCGGCAAATGTCACGGGTCGCCGGGTCGCAATCCGGGCCGGCACGTCAACGGCCAGATGGGGCCATAGTCAGACCGGAGGCCAACGTGGTGGGCTGATCGTCCCCCAGGGTCGGGCCGACATGCATGAGGGTGGGAGCCGGGGCGGCGCCGACCCTCGGGCCTCGAGCGCCCGCTTAGGGCCCCGCTGGGCGGCGGCAATTTGGCGCCGCAGCGTCGGGCCCGGATATTATGCCGGCGCCGGCGGCGGTGCGACCAACGTATCGAACCGCACGAGCGGTTGGGCTGCTGGAGGATAGGTAGAGAGACATCTGATCAGGCGTCCGGCGGGGTGTTCCTGTCGTCCTCCCCCGCCAGACCGTGCTCCTAAGACCGAAATATGCGAGGGATGATGATTGTGCCGTAGTCTGGGTGATATATACGACATTTACTTGATCGGGCGTGTGATTGAGATTGGATTGGTTGACAATTTTTGACATTGGCGTTGGCGTTGTCGCAATTGCATTATTCCTGTAGAAATAATGTAATTGCGACGACGCCAATGTCCGTTACGTTTATCATGCAGAAGAAGTGATTTGAAGCGTGGTCCGTGAGCTCCCTCCACGCCATTGAAACTGTTAATGTCATGCTTACTTTTTTCCTGCAAACCGCGTGCAAAGTGAATTCGAGCATGTCGCACAACATATGGGAGGCGCCCATCGCTTTTAACGTCTCCGCGAATACTGTTATGTTGCATTTCTACTGTTTGTGCGACGACCACATATAGAGCAAAACAAGTCAGGGTCGTTGATGCAGCCACACGGCGTCACCACAACCGCTCCGACACGCCTGTCGCTCTCATTGTACTGCAGGGTATACAGGGCCCTGGCACTGGAGGTCCACCGAGAGCCCAACTGATCACTAGGAGAAAGGATTGCTACCAGTAGACGCACGCTTATTCTTTGAACAAGACTTCCAGTTACGAGGAACGCAATCTTCACAGGTGTCATCGAGTTAAGCGTACCTATGAGCTGGCGTGCATACTGCATTATGCAGTGCATACTTTTCGAAACGTTATCGATATAACGTATGTATCGATGGCGTTTTTTCCTTAAAACAAAACTGAGCCTGATAGGGAAAGGCTGAATTGATGTTCGGAATAAGCTCCACGGAGTTGTACAAGAACGCCTAACAAAATATCTGAACGATACCGCTGTCGCCCAGTGTTTCCATGCAATTCTACCCGACTCCGATGAAGTTCCGCGAGAGTCCCAAATGTAAAAAAGGCACAACCAGTTCAACGGACCACACTTCGAAAAGCGCTTGGCTGCGACGCTCCACGACAGAGGGCGCGCAGTCGTCGATGCTGCCCGCACCCTTCCCCCTGCCCATTGCCCGTCTCGATCCGCCTAACGGAGGACTCGAACGTCGCTCCGACAGAGCCCAACGGCAGCTGGTCTCCGCTGATGAACTGTTACACCGCTGACGTCCCGCCCGAGATTATCGCCCGCTGGCGCAGTCGTGCTGGGGGTATCGGGAGGCGGTGCAGTCATGCTATCCTGCACTAATGAATGTGAAAAAGGTCTTCCTGAGCTTAATGGGCGGTAGCGAAGCTCCCCGAGTCAGGCTCACAGCGTTGCCACAGTTGGCGGCGAGCGGCGACGGCCTTCCAGGGCTGGCGGGCAATAAGTACCCTGTTCCTCGAGCTGTCAGGCGGCGGCCAGATCCTGTTCTCCTCCACCGGTCGGTATTGATGATGTGCGCCAGTCAGCGGCGTATCAGGTGGAGGGGGCATCGGCCCCGTTCAGTTACGCCCGAGACTATCAAGCGGCGCGGTATTGCCCTGAGCAGGCCCATCGTGCGTAATGACGTTCAGGGAGAGTATTGGAAAAGCGGTGGCGTGTGGTAACGACCGAAACACCATGCCGTGACACCAATGCGGTGTGCGAGGGCGTCGGCGTCTTTACTGACTCTTGGAGTCCCTTGGTTACGCGGTTTAAACCATCCCGGAAACACGGACCGTGTGTCCAGTGGAATCAGGTAGTTCTGAAGGCAACGGCGAACAAAACACGTGGTCCTGTGCATTGGTTCAGCATAATGTAGCTGCTAAAGTTGGAACTCAAATGCAATATGGAACCGACTGACTGCTTGACTGGTTGACTGTCTGGGGCTGATTTTGCTAGATGCGCATAAGCAGTGATCAGTTAGCGTTATCCCACCCATGTCCCATACCCTACAGGCGTTTCCTGCTTTTTTATCGCGTACTTCAAAGACGGAGTCCACGCCGGCTTGTTGACGGCAGACCGACTCTTCGCTTGTGAACAGACCAGCGACAAACAGCAGCGGCCTTGGCCGAGATGGAAGGGCAAGGTCGCGAATTGCCTCCATAACACGCACGGCGTTATACATTTAAATCTGGCAATACGGATTCTGGAATGGAGACGCCGGGGCGTGTCGAATGCTAAACACTCGGACGGACTCGAGTGCAGGCCAGATTCTAGCCAGCGATGGCAGTCTGGCACTCGGCGGCTGGCTCTTGCACAAAGTTGGTAGTTGGTGGACGTGGGGCTGGGCAGCCAGTGAACAAGTGGTTTTAAGCCTTCGGACTTTCGTTTGCGCGCGACCGTCTCTTACTAGCCATTGTTGGACCCGGGCTCCGGCTAGTTTTCTTACCTGAGGCTAATGGCGATTGGTCAGGCCTACAGCTTACTTCTGTCTTCTGTCGTCAAATGACCGTTTATTTACGATACTTTTCATTCGTTGGATATAAACAACCATGACCAACCCTTGATCACCTCTCACAACTGTACTAGTGCATTTAGATGTTGAGCTCCGACGTCTAGACCAAAACATTACGAT